CTCCCAAAACGCCGGATCCGTGTGGACGAAATGCCTATACGATACAAAATGTATGGGTATACAGCTAAACGCGTCTCCGTGTGGACGGGGCCTTGGTTTAGTGGTTTAATAACAATAATAAATAATAAAATAACAATAATAAATAGTTTAGTTTTAAAGGCAGGGTATGTGATTTTTCAAAAACACTTTAGAAAACTGATTCGGGCCGAATCACAAACAAACTTGTAGCCAATCAGCAATAAGGGGCGTGTCTACTCGTGATGTGGAGGAGAGAGCTTTCAGTGCATGGGACGGACATTAGCCGAGCGACAGAAAGATAGAGATGGCGGATAAAAAACAAAAGAGGAAAACGTCTGCGGAACGATAAGGGGACCCGTGTGACCCGTGTAAATATCGGATCAGCTTTCCAGCGCTGGAGAGAACTCAAGGAGCGGAGGCCACGCCGAGGTCGCCGAGGTTGCTTTGTTTCTTCTCAATAGGTGAGTAACACCGTGTCTACAACAGCTAAAGTCTGCCTACACTGGACGCGATCAAACGACCGTTGAAAACCATTTGAAATTTGTGTCAGCACGTCATAAATAGAACCCGGCAGCAGTTTTCTGTCGCTCACGTCCGTAGACATGGTGTAACATTGGTTTTGCTTTGTTTCACAGAACTAATCGTTGCCTGGGTTGCGTACGTATATGTGGGGCGGAGCTATCAAAATAGGGGCAAGACCCTTTTGGGGTAGGGGCGTGTTTGTTTTGGTGATTTCAAATATCAACATTGGCTACCAGAAATCGCTTACTCTGCCTTTAACTAATGATCCCTTAAGCATTATATGTGATTCTCTCTGTGAAATCTAAAGTCTCAAAATCTAATTATGAGATAACAAGCATCAAAGTTTGATTTCAACCATTAATTTCAATCTTTGACATGGCCTTACTCAGTCAATAAAAAAGATATAAAGGTTACATTTTCACAAAATGTTCTTTAAGGATTATTTTATGTAGAAAACGGTAAATTACAAAACAAATGACTAGCTGTTTTTTCACTGAGAGGGTCACATTATGTTCATCAATGATTTATTAATGACGTTTTTAATCACTGTAACCATGTCAAAATCATTTAAAGATTTTTAAATGCATGATCATATGAATTGAAACTTTAATGACATTTTAAACATCGAATCTTACATGAAATAAGGATCTGTTAAATGTTAGGTCAGTGGTCTCAAACTCAATTCCTGGAGGGCCACAGCTCTGCAGAGTTTAGCTCCAACCAGATCCAAATCACACCTGCTTGGACGTTTCTAGTGATCTTAAAGACCTTGATTAGCCAGATCAGGTGTGTTTGATTTAGGGTTGGAGCAAAACTGCAGAGCTGTGGCCCTCCAGGAATTGAGTTTAAAAGACCAATGCATTAGGTGATGTTTAAGTTCATTAGTCATTAAACATTTACAAGTACATTATCTCATATTTCTAGCTATATGTGAATATATACTAAATGATAAGTTAACCATTATATAATAGTTGTTAATGATTTATTAATAAAAGTTGTTTTAAAGTGTTGTAATAACAATAACGATCTATTAATTATTATTTTTATCTCAGTTTCTGGCTTATGACATCCAAAATACAGGAATACAAAGAAAGGTTCTACTCAGCGGGCTTAAAGCAACTACTGTTGTTTAATGAGACATCTGTTGTGTGTCTCAAGTGAAGCCAAGAGTGGGGGGGAAATAATAGTATAGCAGTACTGAGGTTCAAGTTCAACTTCAGAATGTGTCAGGTGTAAAGATATCATAGACCATGTGACAAAACTGAGACAACTGTGAAAGTACTGCAATTATGAGTGACCGAAATTTTAAGAAACTGTAAGGTGAATACATAGTGGACTGGTAGCACTTTTAAATAAGCCCTTGATGGAAATAGCAAATGAACGGTCCAGGATCAATGACAAACACAGAAGATTCAGACAGCAGTGCACTGAATGGGTGCCGCAGAGAGAGTTTCATCAGAGGGCACTGGTGAACCACAAATGCAGCAAACAGCTACAAATTTGACAGTGATCACAAGTGAAGTGTCACAAGTATAGGAAATAAAGCCATTAACCAAGGGCAGATAAGGTCACTCATCTGTATTGTGCCACATGTCAACATCGTAGGACCATATAACTAATTGGGACAGTAAAAATGTTTTACTTTGCATGTCCCATTGTTATATTTAATGCACCTTTAAAAACTGACCTAAATTGAGTAGAGCGTGCAACAGGTTAACTTCACATCTCTATGTGAAGTTAACTTACATCTGTGCATTTCCTTAAAATTCTTCTTTTATATTCCACAGAAGAAAGTCAGTCTCACAGTAAAATATGACAGAATTTTAATTTGTGGGTGAACCATCCCTTTAACATGAATTCCTGGAGGATTTTCTTCTGTTTGGGTACAGATCCAATAATTGTTGTCCAGAAAATCCATAGAAAAAAAAATCCCTCAAAACAGTCTGAAACTCCTTAAATATCTTTGTAATACATTTGCTTTATTTTAAAACCTGTGGAAACTGATAGCCTCAATTTTTCTAGCTAATAATTTCTAAGTTTATAAAGCTTAAAGTAATGTGTGTAGATAACTTTGTATACCAGAAAATGTGAATATTAGTAACTCAATTTGAGAAGTTAAAAATTAGTTCAGCAAACTTAGAGATTGAAGTACTGTCACATAATAAATCAAGTTTAGCAGAAGTCTCAGTTACCAGTATTCTTTAATTATTCTCTTTACTTCCTGTATTCTCAGTCACAAGTAGACCTAATACTGACTCCCAGAGTGGATTGCGGCATAAATAAATTATGCATTAGCTTTGGTTTGTTGTCTAATTTCATTGTTACTATTGTTGTGTTTGACATGCTGAATGGTAATGTCTGTGCATGACACAATTAATTGCAAGATTAATTTGCAAGATATTATCTCATCTTAAGAGTAATCATATTAACCAAATCAATAGTATGATGTTTATAATACTGAATACACAAAATAATGTTATTTTTAGCAACATCATATGACCCCTTTAATACAACATTTAATACATTTATTGCATTTTTATATTGCTGCATCAAGTGTGGATTAATGATCTAATATGAAGTCAGATCAATTTGAAAAAAGCAGCCCATTCATATTACTTATGTAACACATAATAACAGTGATTTCTTGTAAAACAAACAAGCATTACACTGAAAAACAGTTAGATGAATATATATATGATGTTCCACTTACCTAAAGGGAAACAATATACACCATAATGCTGACTTTAAACAAAACAATTTTAGGGACGTTACATCAATTTATGGAGTCGACTTTTTTGATGTTCTTTTAACAATTTAACAGCATTTAAGTTTGAAAAAAGAGTGAATGAAACTAAAAAGAGGACAAAAACTGCGTAAGTAGGGGGAAAGAAAGACAATTCTATCAAGATTGCCCCACCTCAGTGGTAATGATACTGAAACAAATCAGTGTACCTTAATTGGGGTTTTCTGAGTAAAAAAGGCATAGTACCTATAGTAGCCTACAGTTTTTTTTTTTTTTTTACAATTAAGTTGTACAAATTGGTGCAGGTGTATTGAAAGAGCTTTCCGTCACACGCTTGAGGCATTCGGCCAATCACAACACACTGGATCGCTGGCCAATCAGAGCACACCTCGCTTTTTCAGACCGATGAGCTTTGTAAAAATCGATGCGTTTCAGAAAGGCAGGGCATAGAGGAGAAACAATAATGTACAGTATGTGGAAAATAATGTGTTTTTTAAACCTTAAAAGCGCATAAACACATTTCATTACACCAAATACACAAAATAATGTTATTTTTAGCAACATCATATGACCCCTTTAATACAACATTTAATACATTTATTGCATTTTTATATTGCTGCATCAAGTGTGGATTAATGATCTAATATGAAGTCAGATCAATTTGAAAAAAGCAGCCCATTCATATTACTTATGTAACACATAATAACAGTGATTTCTTGTAAAACAAACAAGCATTACACTGAAAAACAGTTAGATGAATATATATATGATGTTCCACTTACCTAAAGGGAAACAATATACACCATAATGCTGACTTTAAACAAAACAATTTTAGGGACGTTACATCAATTTATGGAGTCGACTTTTTTGATGTTCTTTTAACAATTTAACAGCATTTAAGTTTGAAAAAAGAGTGAATGAAACTAAAAAGAGGACAAAAACTGCGTAAGTAGGGGGAAAGAAAGACAATTCTATCAAGATTGCCCCACCTCAGTGGTAATGATACTGAAACAAATCAGTGTACCTTAATTGGGGTTTTCTGAGTAAAAAAGGCATAGTACCTATAGTAGCCTACAGTTTTTTTTTTTTTTTTTACAATTAAGTTGTACAAATTGGTGCAGGTGTATTGAAAGAGTCTACTTTTGACATTTGATTCAAATTAGTTATTTTTCCGTGTTTTCGTTTAGCTTACTAGCTTGAATGTAAACTGAATTAATCATTGCGTAATATGTGGCCAGCATTAGAGAGAGTCCTGGCCTGATCGAGGGCGTATTGAAGAAACAACCTGTCTCAGAATCCAGTATCTGTTCATGCAGGGCGGTTTCTGTTACGAGCTCGCCTGAAACATTCAGCATTCTCATGGATTTACTTCAAACTTAAGGTAAGTGTTATCGGTCCGAGGAGCGGAGAATGATCTTGAACATTGTCAGGGGAACGTGACCAGGAAATGCGAACAGATTTTTGACTGCAAGCAATAAATCGCCTGCTTTACTGTCGACAGGACTGTGCTATCTCGTGTCACCGGTCCAAGGGTTTTCACAAGCTCACAGAATGGACGACACGCTTCGTCTCGGGTTCACGCAACATTTACTGGAATGAAACAAACCCTATGGATCACTGAAATGCGATATACTGCTTCAGTTTAACTTGATATACACATACGGGACTGGTGAACAACTTCACGATGGAAGACTTCAGAGGGAGGTTTATACTGTGCTGTCAAAGTACTTTCCCGTGTTTCAGAGACCCGGCGAACAGCACCTCATCTAGCACCGAGAAACGACACGAAGTGCAAACTAATGAATTTACAAAGCCGCCAAACAGGGAGTTACCTCCGACACCTGTGGAGAAACCCGGCTACGTTCACATTGCGCTGTACGACTACACGGCGCGCACGGAGCATGATTTAAGCTTTAACGCAGGGGATAAACTGGAGCCACTCAGGAAAGAGGAAGACTGGTGGTACGCGAGAGGAATCACCGGGATTTCAGCGAACAAAGAGGGCTACATTCCTGCTAATTATGTTGCACCCGTAGAAAGCCTCGATGCTGAACCGTAAGTTTGTGGCACGTCTTCTGTAAGCAAATAAAACCCTGAAAAAGTAATTTCATATGTATAGCCTATGTATATTAAATGTAATTTCATATGTATGTACTGGCAAGTGATGGTAGGCTATGCAATTAATGTTTTTTTTTTTTTTTTTAAAGATGGGATTAATTGGGAACAGGGGGTCATTAGTGTGGTTTGGAAGTCCCATAATTATTGCAATGTAGGCTATGTATTGTATTGCGCGCATAGACCCTAATTGTGAGCCTCTGCATTCAGCAAGAGGGATATTATGAGGATTCCTGGCAGCAGCTGGCAACAGATTCTGTTTCTGCATTGTCTGTTGTTTGTTTCTTAAGGGAAGCTGGGTAATGTTCAGTGGTCAACCAGGAAGTACTAGAATGTTGAGCCTGTTAATGATTCCTAGGCTTTGTGCACTGTAGGTGTCATAAATCGATAAAAAGTGCATAGTATAAAAATATAAAATTAATAATTCTTCAAAATATATATATATATCTATTTTAATTTGAATATGACATGTTATATTAAATGTGTGATAAAATCTCTATGCTTTGTATTTCATTTTGGCATGCTAAATAGTTTCTGACCAATGGACTTTGTTAGAGATAACTTTCCAGTTTTTCCAGGTCTGTCACCAACAACATAATGGCTTGAGTGTGAATGTTTTGTAGCAATTTGTAATCAAATGTAGCCATCTGACAAGACTTGATTATACAGTTCATTGTATTGCTAATGTGTGACAGCATCACGTGTCAGCAGATCTTCAGCTGTATGATCTCTGTGTTGGAAGATTTAGACATAACCTACTGGACACAAGGCGTCTGCATGAGCTTTGTGTATGTTAACTTAAAACAATCATAAACACTGAGTCAGCCAAGGGTTAGTTTATTATATAAGAATTCCATAGTCTTTATTTGAACATACTCCGTTGTTATCCAGGCCTGGACCCTAAATTACCCCGGTGGTTCTCAACTGGTTTTGCTTCAGACGTTCAAAACCCATGATATTAAACTGGGAATGAAGGAGTGTACAACACATTATTACATTCTACAGAAGTAAACTTAAAAAAAAAAAGACTGAAATGTATTAACATTGCTGCATAGGCCCAACAATATGCAAAATTCTTAACATGACATACGATAAATAGGAAAAGTCACGATAAATAGGAAAAGTAGCTCTGTAAATGCTTTAAACAACAGCAGAACAGTGACATATAAAACAAATACTTGGCTAAATATTGCATTAGTTTTAGTATTGATTGCATTAGCCATATTAGCAAGTAATGCTTGGCCACACAGTCCTCGAGGTAAAAAAAGTGTTTAAAAATGAATAATTATTTTCTCATTATTTTTTAAATGATTCATGATTGTGGTGTGTTGTATTTTATTAATTGCATTTTGTATTGTTTTTTCTTTGTTGAAATTCAGTGTGTGACTGCTGGTTGATTTTTAGCTCACATAACATTGTGATACTCTTCCACTGCAGATGGTATTTTCCAGAAACAAAGCGCTCGGAGGCCGAGAAGATGTTGATGTCTCAAGAGAACAAGAATGGAGCTTTTCTAATCAGGAACTGTGAAAGCCAGGCAGGAGAGCTCTCACTCTCAGGTACATCTGACGTCAAATAGGGATGTAACGATTCACTCAACTCACGATTCGATACGATTTACGATTTTGATTTCACGATTCGATTCGTTTCACGGTTTTTTTTTTTTTTTTTTTACAAAATGAGATT